CCTGCTCAACGTCGGCCAATCTGAAGCGCCTCGCGGATAACCCGGGTGGGCATCGCTCTGTGCTGGCAGCCCTCCTCCGCCAAATAACAGCGAGTAGCCCTCGCCCCCAGCGCAGACCTGCCCAGTCGGATTGCCGCGCGGCGTAGCGTCGACTGCCACGACGACGCCAGCAAAACAGCCGCCAACCCCGAGAGCCAGGCCCCCAACGCCTTAGATCGGAAGACCTGCCGGACCGTCAACCGAGGCCTCGGACTTCCAGAAGCGGCCCATGTCCAGGAAACCCCCGGCGGCCGCAGCGACGCGCGCCTTCAACACCATCGCCCTGCCCCCCTGGCAAGGCAGCATCGGCCCCAGATGCCGTGCGACCACAGAACAATTGCCCCTGGCCGCCAATTCATTGCCGCAAAATGCCAACGTCTGGGCGCGAGCGACAGGCCCGCGGAAGGCGTGCATGGCGCGCTGCTTCCCGATGTTCTGCGCGTAGCCCCTCGGCTCCAGCTCGCGGTTCAACAGCGAGTTGGACGCCGCGCGGTCGGCAACGAAAACGTCGCGGCACCAAGAGACGAACCGCTCACGCAGATCGCCCGCGAACTTCGCCAGGCTGAGGTCGAGCACCATCTGGGGGACGATGGGCCGCGCCACCAGCATCTCGGCGCCGGGCCGCATGGAGTCCGCGACGGCCCACTGCAGGGCCACAGGAGAGATGACCTCCAAGAAGAGCGGTGGCCCTGCCGAGTCGCCGATGAGCACCCCTGGCCAGTCTTCATGCGCAGGATGCCCTCCACCGTCTCGGCCTCGCAGTGGTAGCCCCTGGACCTCTGCTCAACAATGTCAGCGTCCTCTTCCAGAAACACCTGGTCGAGGCCCTGCTACATGTCCTCCAGCGACGGGCGCTAGAAAGCCTTGCTGAGGGCCTTGAAGCTCGCGAGCGTCGTCAGCCCGTAGCGCGCAGCCCGCTCGGCCACCACCGCCTTCGCAACGAAGGGCCCCTCGCGCGAGCGCCTCGGGGCGAAGCCGAAATCCATGGGCGAGGCCTTCTCGCGCACCGGCCGCGCCATCAGCATGGGCGCGCACGCCTTGCCGACAGGGCACATGACGTGGGCGACGCGGCCAATGTCCGCCGCTCGCGACCGCGATCAGGCCAGCGGCGCCGTGGAGTACATGCGGATCAGCGCGAAGCACTGCCGCAGGCGAGAGCTGATAACCGATGCCCTCGCCTCAGGCGACAGCGATCTGCGGCGCTAGGCACATCCGCCACATCGGAACAAGCGCCGACCAGCGCGGGGCAGCACGACGAGGCGGCATCCTTTCCCGCATTTGTTCTGCAAGTTCGGCTAGGTCGTGGTCGGCCGCCTCCTGAGCCCCCACAACGGGAAGGCGCCGAAGGAGAGGTCCTTGGCGCAGCTGTTCGCGGCACGGCCGCTGATCCATCTCCGTGGCCGAGTAGCCGCCCATGCACCCCACGCTCTGCATCATCTGCCGCCGGGCTGCAGCCGCGTGTTCCAACCTCGGTGCGTCGCAGACCCGACGCCAAATCCCCAGCGACCACTCGCCCAGCAGGTGGGCCATCCTCCACATAGTGGCAGCATCGTCAACACGTTCGCCTCAGCCAGGGCATCGCTCCGCTCTTGCGTAGGCGTCGCCTCTGCTGTCGCTGGAGGGTGCGCAGGCACCCGGTGACCTCCTTCAGCTCCTCCTGACATCGGGTGAGCTGGGCAACAGCCTGCTCATCCTGGGCCTGGGGCTCTCTCTCTCTTTCTCTCTTGTGTCTGAGGGGATGTCTGCCCTCCCTCTGGCGCTCGCCCTCAAGGACGTGAATGGCACGGGTAGCGGCCCGCTTCATCAGCAGGCACTTGCGAGCAGCGGTCGCCCTCTCGATGTCCTCCGTGTCGTACCGCTTGAGGCCGAAGCTCTCCGGGCTCGCATCCCGCACCGCACCCGCGAGATCGTCCCACACCTCGTTGTGTCCATCCTCCTCCTCGAGCGCCCTCGGGGGGAGCAGGCTGCATTTGGACCCCAGCGTCTCGAGGAAGGCAAATTTGCCTTTGTGCTGCCTCGTCGCCACCATGCATTTGTCCAAATTCCACTGCACCCGCCCGGCCTTGGGCAGCAACTCAGGATGCACCGGTACAACCATGACTGAGACAAGCAGGGGCGTATGGTCACGGCGCCCGCGAGCCCTGATCGCCTGGAGCGTGTCTCCGATGGAGCAGAACGGCTTGCAGTCGGACGCGCTCGGCATGAGCGCCTGCGGGATCGCGATGACTTCGTCCCTGCTACGGTTGCCCTGCGGCCCCGAAACGGTGTAGCCCTCGCAGAACGTGTTCACCATCGCCAGGTGCCAGTCCTCGCATAGCCTTCGCCATGCGGTGCTGGAGTGGTGCTCCAGCGCAGCCACCACGTCGCCGATCGCGTCCGACGGCGGCTTGAAGACCCCGGCCTCGGACTTGACAAGCCCCAAGCCATCGTTCAAATCCGCGCAGACTAGCGGCGTCGTACGGACGGGGGCTCCCATCAGACACCGTTCCGTCCAGGTGATGATGGCGTCGGTGGTGGCCTGGTGGTGCAGGAGACCACGCACGGGGAAGTACAGGACAAACACCAGCAAGTCAAGCGTCCCGCGCCGAATCTGGGCGCCCCCCTCTCGGCCACGGATCGCAGGAGGTGGGGTGAACACCTGCAGCACCTTGAACCCTTTCTTCGGCATAAGAGAAACGCCGCAAACCTTGTTTGAGTAGGCACCCCGCCCCCACACCCAATGCAGAGCGTCGTGATGAGGAAGGGACTGGCGAATGACGTCCGCCCCCTGCTGCCACCGCGCCGCCGTGCCCTGCAGCGCCACCACCTCCGTGCGCTCCAGCTCGTGACTGATATCCTCCGCCCGAAGCTTGCGCGTGAGCGTAAGCGGGTTGTAACTCACCACGCGCATGAGGCACGCCCCCGCAGGGGGGGGGGCAGAAGAAGTCAGGCCAGAGGACCCCAGCGCGCGCCAGGGGGACAAAGCAAAGACATGGCGCTGCCCGCTGGCGCCTGCAGCGACGTCGCGCCGCAGCGGCGGGGCCTCGAGCGAATGTGCGACGCTACACACACACATACCCGTACACACACACACACACACACACACACACACACACACACACACACACACACGCGCGCACATACACACACACACACACACGCACCAATACATATATATATGTATATGTGTGTATGTGTGCAAGCATACATACATACATACACATACATACATACATACATACATACATGCATACACAGACCTACCTACGCACATACATACACACATACATCCGCACATGATGCATACATACATGCACGCACACACACACACACATGCATACATCCATACATACATACATACATACATACATACATACATGCATGCATGCATGCATGCATGCATGCATACATACGTATATACATACATGCATACATACGTACATACAGGCATACAGTAATGCATCCATGCATGCATGCATGCATGCATGCATGCATGCATATATACATATATGATCCAGGGTCGAGGGCCCACGGCCCCCCCCCCAGATGGTATGGTCCCAGGATTCCTCGGGCCCCACCCCCCAGATGGTATGGTCCCAGAGAAGACGACGACGACGACGACGACGACGACGACGACGACGACGACGACGACGGCGACGACGGCGACGACTACGACGACGGCGACGACGACGACGACGACGACAACGACGACGACAACGACGGCTGCGGCGACGACGCCGGCGGCGGCGGCGGCAACGACGACGATGACGACGATGACGACGGCGACGACGACGATGGCGACAACGACGACGACGACGATGACGACGACGACGACGACGACGACGACGACGACGAGGACGACGAGGACGACGAGGACGACGACGACGACGACGACGACGACGACCTCTGAACCACCACAGCACCACACCACATCCACAGGGGGGGGGGAGGGGGGCACCGCAGCGCAGCACCACGCCACGCCCACCTCTGAACCACCACAGCACCACACCACATCCACAGGGGGGGGGGGAACCGCAGCGCAGCACCACGCCACGCCCACAGGGGGGGGCGGGGGGGACCATCGCGCGGGGGGGGGGGGGGCCCAATGGCATCAGCATTGGGGGGGGGGGGCCAAAGCCCTGGACCATATATACATACATACATAAATACATACATACATACATACAGACAGACAGACAGACAGACAGACAGACAGACAGGCATAAATACATGCACACCAGCATATATAGATACATGCATACATACATACATACATACATACATACAGACAGACAGACAGACAGACAGACAGACAGACAGACATGCATGCATGCATGCATGCATGCATGCATACATACATACATACATGCATACGTACGTACGTACGTACGTACATGCATACATGCATACATGCATACATGCATACATGCATACATGCATACATGCATACATGCATACATGCACACATGCATACATGCATACACGCACACCTACATGCATACATGCAGTCATGCATTCATACATGCATACAAGCATACACATACACATCTGCATACGCACATGCATACACGCATGCATACGCACATGCATACATGCATACCTACATGCATTAACACATGCGTGCATACATGCATACATACATGCATGCATGCATGCATGCTTGCATACATGCATGCATGCATACAGACATGCGTACCTACATGCGCACATGCATACATGCGTGTATGCAGAGTTGCATACATTGCATCAGTTGCACACATGCATAAATGCATGCACACATGGATACATACATATGTGCATGCATGCATGCATGTATACATACACACATTCATGTATACAGACATGCATGCATACATACATACATGCATGCATACATGCATGCATGCATACATACATACATACATACGTACATACACACCACCCCCACCTTCACATCCCACACCACCTCCTCATCATCGTCCCCCTCACCTCCCCAAAGTGTCCTCCACCCAACTGGCGTGGTAGCGGACGATGTTCCGAGAGCCTTTAGCGCCGAGCACGCCCAGAATGAAGGGGGCGGAGAGGCACATCCAGGAGCGGCGGGGGTAATGGGGAGAGGAGCGGGGGCGGAGGGGGCAATGAGGGGAGGGCGACGAGGACGGCGGCAGGAGGAGGAGGAGGAGGAGGAGGAGGAGGCAGGAGGGCGACGAGGCCGAGGACAGGGGTCGACGAGGAGGACGGACTGCGGGGAGGGGTGGGGGGAGATGCTCGGGTGCGGGCTCGCGCTGCGCAAATCCCAGCCATCCCAGCCGCCTCAGCACCTGCCTCGCCTGCGCCCGAATGCCGCTTCTTCCCCTCTGGCGGGGGGGAAGCGTCGTGCGCCGCATCCGCGGGGAGGGGGCCTCGTCCCGCGGCCGGCTGGGGTCTCGCCCCGCGACGGGGGTGGCGCCTCTCTGCTCTGCACGACTGGGCACTGCGGCGGCGGAGGCAGGGGACTCGGGGGGGATGGTTGGGCGGGGGGGGGCGCAGCGGCGTCGCGTCGGCCGGGGTCTCGATCCGCGAGGGGTGGGGCCTCGAGGCAGCGTGGAATACGGAGCGAGTCCGCCGCGGAGTGTGCACAGCGCTCGGGGTGCTTCCAGAGATCCCCTCTTGCCTCTTTGAGAAAAAGTCGGGGCTCCCCGTGGGTTCCTGGGGAAGTCCGCCGGTGCTTCAGTGTGCCCTCAAGTGAAAGAAAGCCCCTGGATTTCTCCAGAAATTCTCAGGGATACACAAGAACTCGTCTGAACCCAATTGGATAATCTTTCCTTGGGGGATCCTGGGAGTTCACGAGGAAGCAGGTTGGATCTCATCCGGATTCCTCAGGTCCACTGAGCGGCACCTGCCGATGCCAGAGAGTGCCCAGAATATTCGGGGGCACCCATGGGGTGCCGCATGAAATTCCTGGGACTCCTTACTCCAGATTTCGTAATAAAGGGAGGGGGGTCTCATTTCGGGGGGGGTCTCTTCCAGGCTATCTTGGAGGGCCTGGGGGGTCTGGGGACGATGTTTTGGAGGGTTCTCCCACGGGGGAGGTCTGAAATGGCTTGTCTTGGAGGGTCCAGACCCCCTCCCTTTTTTTACGAAATCTGGAGTACCCATGGGGTGCCGCATGAAATTTCTGGGACTCCTTATCAATTGTTGTTCGTCATCGTCCATACGCTCTCCGCGTGAATCCGCTGAGGGCATCCCCGGACGGCACGCTTCGGCACCGAGCAGGCGCAGGGCACCGCTCGCAGCAGCGCGCGAGCAGGACGCGCGGGAGACGGGCGACGTGTGATCCTGCACGCCAGGGCAGGCGGAAGACGAGGACGAGAAGGTCGAAGGTAAAGGGGCCCTGGGACACACAAATAAATACACACGAATAACAGGAATCCCCATATTTTCCATATTTTCTGGGTTTCTGTCTTCCCCCCCCACTTCCCATATTTTCCCATATTTTCTGGGGAATCGAGGATTAATTGTGTCTGTGTATTTCTTTCCCTCCTGGGTCAAAGGTGCCAGCGCATTGTTGTAGAAACTGGCTGGGGCTTTTCGGGGCGTGCGTAGGAATTCCAGCCAGAGCACACCGTTTGGACACCCGCGGGATTCCTGAAGGCATCCTGGGAATGTCACGAGGGCATGCTCGGGATTGCTGCTGCCCGTCAGGAGTGCGTTGGGCTTCCTTGGGATCCCTGACCGCTCCAGATGCAAGAATCCCAACTCGGGGGCCACGGCGGCCACGTCCGCTGCGCAGCGAGGGGGGCCGCGGGCCGGCTTCGCCTGGGAGCCGCTTGAGCCTGCTGCCTCGTTCCTGCGTGCAGGGCCTCTTGAAGAGCCCCGCCAGGGCCGCTCGAAGGCTGAAACAGGATTCGTCGAACCTGCGCCGCGCACAGAGGAAGGAGGCGCAGTTCGCCTCCCTGCGTCGCTCGGGGGGGCCGTCGTTCGTCTGGCGCTCTGGCGAACGCTCCGGCCAGCGGTCGATCGCGCCTGACTCTAGTCAGGTGCGGCTCTCGGAACAGGGAGCAGGACAACAGGGGAGAAGAGGAGAGAGGCAGCGAGGGGGCGACGGGGGGAAAGGAGATGGGGAGGCGAGCGGGAAGCATGTGCGAAAGGGGGAGAGCAAACTAGTCGCACGCGCGCCATACCTGGCATCCCACCCCTGCCACAGGAGGACCAGCGGAAGGCAGCGGGTGTAGAAAGGGAACGGAAACGGAGAGTCAACAATCGAATCCAGAAATGTGGCCCGCCCTGGCGCGAGAGCCTGAGATGTGGCCAACGCTGCAACGGGACAGCCAGTCTGAAGCATCCGGGGACGCTCCGATGCAAAAAGCCAGGGGCAGAGGGGCGGGAGGCAGAGTGATGTGAGCGGACTCTCGGGTCGGGCGAAAGGGGGGGATAGCAAAGGGGGGGGGTGAGAATCAGCTCACGTAGCTGATTTTCCCGGCGCCTCCCGGCGCCGGAGGCGGCTATGTATCGAGGAATGGGCCCCTCGGTGAGGCCGAAACCGGCTGCATGCAGCAAATTTCGTAACCCCCCCTTTCCCAATGCCCCCCTTTCGCCCAGCCCGAGACTCGGCAGCAATCGCCTCACCCTGGCACGCGAACGATGGCCGGCCGGGGCACGGGACAAGTAGACTGCATCCAAGAGCGGAGGAGCGGCGACGCGAGCGGAGCGCTCCAGTGCCAGAGGTCGCAATCCCCCAGGCTCAATCTCGGAGGTTTGCTGAGCTGGGGGTTGGTCCTGCCGTTCCCCGGGGGAGCGCGCGCACCGAGAAATCTTACAGTATGTGCGTCGTGGCGGGCGCTTTCTGGCCACGCCGCTCGGGAAACGATATACTACAAGATGGATACACTACATGTTCGGGTCGGACGCGCGCCTTCAAGGAGGACATGATAGTATTAGTATGTCTCTGTGCGTCCCATTTCATCCTCTCCACCCCAACCCCGCGCTACTCAGTGTGAGCACGACTCTTCGGCAATCGGAATGAATCGGATCGGCGGAAATCGGCAGCCGGGTCGGGAGAAGTCGAATCGGCAGACATCGGCAGTCTAGTAGGCCTTCATTGAAAAATCGGATCCCAGATCGGAATCCGATGCCGAATCGAATCAGAATCGAAATCCATCGAAATCGAATCGAATCGAATCGGAGGAATCGAGATGAGCCCTGTTCCCCACCCCCGCACATACACAACGTCCACCTCTCCCTGCACTCCTCCTTGACCTTATCTACTCCATAGCCAGTGCCAGTCCCCCGTCTCATCATCCCTTCTTCCTCCCTCTCCCGCCCCCTGTCCATACGCGACCCTTCATGAGAATGCGAATTTAGCAGCCAAGTAGTACAAGGGAGATGCCATGGGATGGAAACCCCAATTCACCAAAGCAGCTGAGATGAGTAATGCATTTGGTGGTTGGCCCTGAAACAAAACGGGCTGTTGAAAAGTATGTGGATGGGGGTGGGCGTTGACTGGGGATGCTTGGGCCAAGCGGCAACAGGTCGATTTCTCCGATAGAGCTGATGGTGGCGGCGGCAACGTGAGAGTCATCAACAAAAGAAGCCCTCACACGAATTTCGTCAAACTACAGTCGTCACCACCTGAAGAATCTTCCTCTCCTCTCCCAGGCTCATCCCCTCCGACATCCCCCTTGTATCCGAAACAGAGGGGGACAGAGTAATAGGGAGAAGGAACCACGACGACTAAGACTGAGAGGAAGATGAGAACGAGTGCGAGGAACGGCAGAAAGAAGGATCCCAACCGCACTTTGAGCGCAGATGGCTATATAGCGAAAACGCAGTGCGACTCCAAGTTCCGGGCGGCGTGCGTCTCCCACGCTCGCGCGTCTGAGGACCCCCTTTATCTGCTTGGGCACGGTGCCCCTCCCACTGTCGTGTTTTTGCGCGCCGCTTGCCACTTGCGTGTCTCTGTGCTCTGTGTAGGCGGCGTGCGCGTCGCACTTTCGCGCGGCCGTGCCCTGCGTGGGCGACGCGTGCCTCCAGCTTTCCTGGCTGTGGGCCCCGAGTTGGGTTACCGCGCGCCTCCCACACTCGTTTGCCCGTGCTCCGTCTGGGCGCCGTGCGCCCCCCGTTTCCGCGCGTTGGTGCTCTGCTCGGCCGCCGCACGCCCCCCATGCTCGTCCCTGCGTGCTCTGCTTGGGCGACGTGCGCCTCCCACGCCTATGCCCATGCGCTCTGCTGGGGCGCCGTCCGCCTCTCCCCGTTCGGGCGCCGCGTGCGCCTCCAACCTTCGGGCGCCGCGCTCTGTTCCGTTGCCGCGCGCATCCCTCTGTCGGGCGTCGCGCGCCTCCCACCTTCGGGCGCCGTGCACTTCCCACTTTCGTCCGTTCGCCGCGGTGAAAAATCACGTCCTGATGCACGGCTACAATTTCACGCCGTGTGTGTGTTAGCTGCACTTGCCGTGTAAAAAACCGCTTCGCATCGTGTATTAATTGCGTTTGCCGTGTAAAGAATCTTCCATTCCATGCTCCCGTCCTTGGGTCTGGACGGAGGGGCGCTAATGCGTTCAGAATGGTTTACCGACCCACTCCTTCCCAAGGATCACTCAGTCACCAGTGTTGCCCGCTTACTGACGATCGACATGTAGCTCCATCCGTTTTCCCGACGACTCGAATGGGCCTCGTTTTAGATCGGGCAGGAGGGCATATTTTCTGGTACGCGGGCGCGCGAAGACGAGTCAAACGCCGTGCAAGCGAAGGCGGGCCGCGCCGAAGCCAAGGGGAAAACAGCAAAGCGAGCGGCGCCCGGCTGAGAGCGGAACTGGGCTCAACGCGGCCAAAGTTACGCGGGAGACATCACAAATCTGCATCAGAATCACGTCAATCAAAACTTCGGCACCAGGTAATGCAGGGCGCGCCTATTGAGGTGCCAAGTAGTGACGCAGGTACGGTGTGGGAGAGCGACCACGCACATTGGAAAGTCAGCAGGTCGGGCTCACCAGGACGCATTTGCCGCGGGTGGGAATACTTTTTGGCCAACAGGCACGCGAGGCGGGCCGAAAGCCGTCCGAACACTAGTCAGGCCGCGACTAGGCAGCAGGAAGAGAAGGGCAAGCGAAGCAAGCGAACGGGCAGCCACTCAGAAGGAGAGCCTGAACAGATACTCCCAAACCCAGTGGCGTGGAAATCCCGTTGGCGACCAGCAAGTAAGCGCAGCCAAAATTGCGCGGCGGCGCGACCATGAACACGCAGAGGTCGATCGATCTGTGTGAGTCGGGCGGGTGGGGATACTTTTTGTTGCCAGCCTAAGGCGAGCGCGCCGACGGCGAGTGAAGGTCCGAGCGGGCCGCGCGAAGGCCTAATTTTCCTAGCAATAGCAGGCCTGCCACCACAATTCAGAACGGGACCAGGAGGTAGCCGAGGAGGGGGTAGAGCTGCAAGAACTGCCTGGGTATGCAAACGTGCAACGAGCGGCAGGCGCGCGGCTGACTGCCGGGGGAACTGACTGCCAGGGTCTGCAAGCTGCCAGAGGTGAATTGAACTGCAAAGCGTGGACAACCGCTGCAACTGAGAGGCTGCCAGGGTGGCCTGAACCGTGTAGGCCTGAACCACCAGTGAAAGAATTGAATGCGCGTGAAGTGGCCAACCGAAGCTGAGGCGCAGCCCAACATGGCGCGTAGAAGCACCACGACGTGACCAGGGCGGGCCGAATCGGAGAAAGGCCCAAAATGCCCGCCACGGTCTGGTAGGTGCAGGTGGTGGCGCCAGCGAAGTCGCACACCAAAGCCCCAGGGAAAAGGGGAGCGCAGTCCGCACTCGTTCGACCACGGATGGCGACGGATGCAGCGGGCGGGGATACTTTTTAGTCAGCGGCCGCGGGCGAGCGCGCCGGCGGCGAGTCAGGTCAAAGCGGGCTACGCAGAGACTAATTACGCAGAGGAAACGCGGGAAAAATATAACAAAACAACACGCGAGGCGACGGCTAAGCGCGGCCGAGGCCTCAGGTGGGTGGCTGAGGGGACTGAGACTGAGGGGAACTGCCAGCGCGCGGAGCTGCAAGTCCGTCGGAGTCGCCAAACGTCGCAAATTCAACGACGGCCAGGGTCAACTCCGAGAGAAAAAAAAAAAAAAAAAAAAAAAAAAAAAAAAAAAAAAAAAAAAAAAAAAAAAAACGATACCGTACCCCAGACGACTGCGTGGGCACCAGGGTGGCCGTGGCCAACGAACCGTCGGTCGAGGTAGGAAAGAGAAATGCAAAAGCGATGCCCCGATCGTCGGCAAGCGCGGAGACCAGGGTGGTCCAAAGGACCGTCGGCCAAGGAATTGTCGCCAGGAGGCGAGAGCGTTGGCAGGCTGCAACTCCCAGTGTGGCGGAAGCCGAGAGACCCCTAGGCAGCAGTACGCACGAGTGCGCGGGTGGGGATACGTTTTTTGGTCAGCGGCCACGAAGACAGCGGTCATGTGGCGATGGCAACGTCCGGGCCACGGGCGAAACTAATCCCACCAGCCCTTTGGGCGTGAGTGGTTTAGAGAGCCCGCTCTGTTCTCAACCCCCTTCTTCCCCTTCGGGGAGGGGTTTACCCCTCCCCCTACCCCCTCCCCCTGGGCCTGGAGAGGGCGCCCCGCGGGTGGTTGGAGGGGTCTTTTTCGACTCCTGGGAGGGCTAAAAAGCGACACCCCTCACGAGGATTCTGGCCCCGACGGGGGGAGGCAGAAAAATGCTCCCCTCTTCTTTGAAGCCAAAATCATTGATTTTACTATGGTTTTGGCCCCATCTTGGCCTTCTGAGGGGGCAGCGCTCATTAAAGCCCCCCTCTTTTGTCAAGCCAAAAGCATTGATTGTACTAAGGTTTTGGCCCCATGTTGGCCTTCTGAGGGGGCAGCGCTAATTAAAGCTCCCCTCTTCTTTGATCGATTTCCTCCAAGATGGCCCCAAGAAGCGCCCAGGAGGCACCAAGAGGCCCCAAGATGGCCCCAAGAGGCCCCCAGGAGGCCCCCAAGAGGATCCCAAACGGCCCAAAGAGGCCCCCCCGAGGCACCCAAGACGCCGAAAAGCCCATCAGGACGACCCTCAACTCGCCTGGGCGTCGTTTCTGGACGACTCACACCAGGACGAAGGGCCCGAACGACTCACACCAGGACGAAGGGCCCGAACGACTCACACCACGAAGAGCCCGAACGACTCACACCAGGAAGAAGGGCCCGAACGACTCACACCAGGACGAAAAGCCCGAACGACTCAAACCACGAGGAGCGTTTTCTCTTCCTCCTCCTCCGCCTCGTCCTTCCCCCGCTCCCACCACAAGGAGGATGTACAAGGAGGCGGGAGGAAGGAGGAACAGGGGAGATGTGCGGGGGCAGGCGGAAACACGCCTGAAAAACACGACTGCCGGCATGCTTCGCTAGAGTTGCTGTTTTGAGATGGGCTGGTGGGGATACGCGAAGCGTGAAGAATTTGTAAAAACAGAATGCGGCCGGCCAGAGCTGGCTGGCATACTGCTAGCACGGGCACGTGCACTGGACAAAATGACCAAATTCGAGTGGCCAACGCATTGACAGGCGCCAGCACCTTACCACAGTGGGCAGGTCTCTGTGCCCAGTGAAAATGGGAAGGCTAATGAAGTGAGTCGCCATTGTGGCGCCAGACTTCAAACGGTCGACATGCGTAAGCCAGCCGACTGAGCAGTCGAGAACGTATGCCGCGCGCAGTTGTGCTGAAGGTGGGTCCGAGAAGCTGTACATGCTGCTGAAGGCTAAACCACTCAGTGCCCAGGCCAGTCGCGAGTGGGGATACGCGAAGCGTCAAACATTGTCAACCCCACCACCAGAGCATAGACGTCAGCCGTGTCTCGCTTCGCTGAAGGTGGCAGTGCCGTTCAGTGTCTGGTATGTGATGGAAACTTGATTACCATCCAGTGGCGCGAGGCCCGCCTGAAGCATTCGCACTCCTTCTCGCAGCTGAAGGAGAGGAATTGCGAGGAGCGGCAGCGGCGACAAGCACACAACGGCGGAAGCCGGGAAGAAAAAAACACATCGAACACCCATTGCCATGATATTAGGCAGCCTGTCGTAACTGTCTGTGGAACGAGGACGACGACGACGACAAGGGGAGAGGAGAGGATCACGAGGAGACAAGATAACGAGGGGTTCAGGCGCGACATTATGAGGACCAGGCGAATCTCCACCCGAGAGCCCCTCCCGCGGCGGACCGAGGTATCCCCCCTCACCGTTCTCCTCCTCGTTATCCTCTTCAGCGTCATCAGGCTATCATCATCATCATCATCATCATCATCATCATCATCATCATCATCATCATCATCATCATCATCATCACCATCATCATCATCATCACCACCATCAGCAGCAGCAGCATCATAATCATAATCAGCGTCAGCATCGGCAACATCATCAACATCAGCATCATCAGCATCATCCACATCATCCTCATCATCATCCTCATCAGCATCATCAGCATCATCATCCAAATCATCCTCATCATCAACCTCATCATCAACAACAGCATCATCATCAGATTCATCATCAGCAGCAGCATCATCATATCATCGGCACCATAATCAACATCAGCAGCATAATTAGCAGCATCGTAATATGCGTCATAATCATCAGCAGCAGCATCAGCATCATCATCATCCTCATCATCATCAACAACAGCATCAGCATAAGCATCGTCATCCTCATCGGTACCATCAACACCATCAGCAGCAGCAAAAGCATTGTCAGCAACAACGACGACCTCATCGTGATCACCACCACCGTCGTTGTCAGCATCACCACCACCACCACCACCGTCATCATCATCAGCAGCATCATCATAAGCATCATCAACAACATCATCATCAACAGCAAACTCAACATCAACATCCTCATCAGCAGCAGCACTATCACAGTCAACATCTCCGTCGCCATGCTCATTATCACAATCAGCACCATCGCCGTCCGAATCACCCTCGTCAGCATCACCATCAGCATCAACATCAATATCATCATCAGCAGCAGTAGCATAATCATCATCGTCGTCATCCTCACAATCATCATCCCCATCAACATCATCAACATCAGCATCACCATCAGTACCACAATCGTCGTCGCCGTCATCGTCATCGTCATCGTCATCGTCATCAGCCTTATCACCAGCAGCAGCATCAGCATCATCAGTATCATCCTAAGCGTCATCGTCATCGTCATCGCCACCGTCGCCCCTCATCAATGCCAGCGCAGTCATCCTGGTCGTCATTACAATCATCACCACCACCATCAGCATCATCATCATCAGATTCATCGTAATCGTCATCGTCACTATCGTCCTCATGATGAGCAGTAACACCACCACCACCACCACCACCACCCTCAGCACCATCACCAATGTCATCATCACCATCATCATCATCATGCTCATCATGGTCATCAACAAAATGATTGGCGTCATCGCCGATGCCGTACACCATCGATACCAGCGTAGTCAATATGGTCAACTTCATCGTAATCAGTATCAGCACGATCATCGTCCTGGTAAGCATCATCATCATCAGCATCAGCATCAGCATCATGGTCAGCACCATCATCATCATCATCATCATCATCATCAGCAGCATCAGCATCAGCAACAACAACACCATTATCATCATCAGTACCATCAGCATCGGCATCATCATCACCATCAGCAGCAACAGCATGCATCCTTCCTCCCCCCCTCCTCCTCCTCCTGATCCTCCTGTTCCTATCCTGCGAGCGCCGCCCGCCTCCAGCAGACCCTGCGGACAGGGCGGCCAGGGTGCAGGCCTGGACTCCGCGGGGAGGGGGGGGTAGACCGTCGCGACGACAATGCACAAGGGGTGAGGAGGGACCGAACTGTTCAGCCGAACTGTAGCTACAGGAAAGTTCTCTTCCAAGAAAGAACATCTGCCCGACCTATGTGTTCAGGCACGTTGGCAGCAGGCACGAAGCTAACAACATGGGCCAAGGCACGGGGTATTGCGGTAGCCAAGAGATCTCTGTCAAAATCTAGGAATGCCAACGTGGTAACCCAGCCCGCCAGGAACTGCTGGAGGGTTTACTAGAAGGGAGAACCTGGATGACATTGGACGCCGAGGAACCATGTCAGTATTATGCGCACCCCTTGGAGTCCCACGTCCGAACCGAACCTTCAGTATACCATCTTAAGCACATCAATACCCAGGGGGTATGAGCAGAAAGCGCCCGTCCGCAAACATGCACTGTGACATTTCCCAGCGCGCACGCCGCCCCTGAGGGACCGATGCACACATCGTATAAGTATGTATGGATGGTGCCAGTCGTAGCAGATTGCAAGCAACCATCCCTGAGCCCTCGTCAGTGGAGATACGGGTTATTGAATGCGTCAATGATCGAGGCTGGTGTAACATTTCGGAAGTGGCAGCTGCATTTGCCCTGAGCACCCCATACTAGCCAGAGCAGGTTCAGCAGCTGTACAGAACTCTGAGGGAGGCAACCTGATCCAGACCGTGCGCAACCTCCTCCCAGGACATTACCCGCAGAGTTCGGGACGTGCTGAGCATGGAGCACACCGGGAGGCCCCCTCCTCACAGGATCCTGCCCTGCGCTTTCTGAAGAGAGGAAGGGGCCCTGACTGTGCACAAGCGGAAAAGAATACAAGCTGGTGGGGAACACGAAGCTCCCACCTCCCACCAGGCATGTGTGAAGGGGACCTGGGACACACAAACAAATACACACAAATAAAAGAATTCCCAGATGTTGAAATGTTTTCTGGGTGTTTGCCTTCCCTCCCACTTCCCATATGTTTCCAAACTTTCCTGGGAATCGTCGATTAATTGTGTCTGTGTTTTTTCCCCTCCTGTATGTGGACCAGCATGCTGAAAAACTAAAGCTCCAAATGGTAAGAACGAGGCCGTCGATCCTGCTGACCGCCTCAACTTGCCGAGTAATCCGTCGGCCCCATCGCGGGGCCATCAGGCTCCGAAGCTTAGGATTGCAGCTCCCTGTACCGGTTGCAGTTTCCAGTTTCCACTGTTACAGTCCTGCTTTCTGCCTCCTTATTGTTAATTGTTGCTAAACGCGCGAGGGGGGTAGCCGAACATGATCAGGCATGGCAACGCTTCAAAGACACGTGATTGGGCGACGGACACATTCAATGCTGAAAATAAAGATCTTGGTGTACCGTGCCGAAGGCTGTGCTGTGCTGCACCGTGCTGAAATGCGATGTGCCATGCCGCGATTGTGCTTTATAGCGTTGTGGATCGAGTCCTCCTTTGTATCCGAGTCCTGACCGAACTGATCTAGATCTTAAGCTCGAGCTGCCTGAGCACAAAGTAGCTGCCCCAGGGCTAATTGACAGGGGGACATGCTAGGAGGACGCGCCGCGGAACGTCCCAAGGGACGCACCAGGCGAAGTGCCAGGGGACGTGCCACGGGGACGCACCGCGGGACGTGCCAAGGGGACGCGCTACGGAACGTGCCAATGGACGTGCCACGGGATGTGCCAAGGGACGCGCCGCGCGACGTGCCAGGGGGACTCGCCACGGGACGCGCCACGGGTTGCAATGCTGAGTGTATCGATCTTGATGTACCGTGCCGAGGGCTGTGCTGTGCTGCGCCGTGCTGAACTGCGACGTGCCATGCCGCGATTGTGCTCTCTAATACTGCGGATCGAGTCCTCCTTTGTATCCGAGTCCTGACCGAACTGATCTGGATCTTAAGCTCGAGCTGCCTGAGCACATTGTAGCTGCCCCAGAGCTAATTGACAGGGGGACATGCTAGGAGGACGCGCCGCGGGAACGTCCCAATGGACGCACCAGGCGACGTGCCAGGGGACGTGCCACGGGGACGCACCGCGGGACGTACCAAGGGGACGCGCTACGGAACGTGCCAGTAGACGTGCCACCTCATGCTAGACATACGCCTGGGCGAACTGATCACGTGAAGACAAGTGGTTCGCTCGAGACATCTCCCTTCTACCGGTGGGCTACAAGGTGCTGGCCTGGATGATCCAAAAACGATTGCAGCGAGGAGGAGCAGAAGACAGATTACGACCAACACAGTTCGGTTTCAGACCGGGTCGCAGCACTATTGATGCAATTTCAATTGCCCGCCGCATGATAGACGCCGCCCAGTACACGAAGGAGCCTGGTTTGATCGCTGTGCTACTCGATTGGGCCAAGGTTTTGACAGGATCAAGCACGACGCGCTGATCAAGGCGTTGGCGAGATTTGGCACTCTGGAGCCCTTGCTATCACTCATAGCTTCAATCTACAAAACGCGCCGCTGTGTATTGAAAGATCCAGCCGGGGACTCTACAATGAGGCAACAACTTGCAGGTATAGCTCAAGGGTGCCCTCTGTCTTCATATCTTTTCATTCTCATGCAAACTGTGACGTGCTTCGACGTTGACAACATGTACCGCGCCATGTCCGTGGATGTCAAAGAACCAGCCTATGTGGTGTGCAATGACATACTATACGCCGACGACACGATGCTCGTGAGCGCGCACCCACTGAAACTACATATTCTTTTAGATATCACGGTTGGTGCGGGTAAGCAATACGGCCTCGATTTAAATTGGGGAAAACCGTTGCAACGACAGTAAACAATGAGGGGGTGGTGCGAGACCCGTCTATGCAGCCGATTAAAAATGTTCAACAAGCAATGTAATTGGGTGGACTTTTGCACAACGCTGCAGAGAGCAAGCTGGAGGTTACAAGACGGCTGGGGGAAGCTAGAGGCATATTCAAATTGATGAACAAATGCTGGAACCACGCCAGTATCAGCGAGTCTCGGAAGATTCGCCTGTGTGACGCTATCGTGGTACCCAAGCTTTCATACAACTTGGAGTCTTTCTGGATATTACAAGCAGACCATCGTGTCGCTACGACGCATTCTGAGGATCCAGCACGCATACTATTCTAGAGCTTCAAAGGCCACAGTTTTATCGTTTGCGCAAGCTGTCCCCCCTGAGTGAGACATTGCGCCAAAGGCACGTGCAATCATACGAAAAAATAACGCGTTTGCCTTACGACAACTGTTTAAGGCTCTTGGTGCAAGCCAGAGGGCACTGCGCCGAGACAGTGGCACTTGGTCCGGAAGCGCGGCCGCCCTAAGCTGCAGTGGTGTCCCTGATCGGAGAAATGCGGCTCGACGAAATCAGGAAACTGCAGACGGCTGCGTGGTTGATGCTCTTGCTCTGTTTGGCCTGCTGGACCCGTATCCTGCCATGCTCGATCGTCCGCTGCTGGAGCCCGTGCCCACCCGCACACACCTGTCCCATCACCTCTCTTTGGCGGCGAGCGAGGGGGGGAAATGAGAAGGAGAAAGCCTTCTCAGAAGGCAGCGTGACTTCTCAGAAGCCTTTGTGCCTTCTGAAAAGCTGTTCTGTCTTCGGGGGAGGCTTAGAAAACTCCTCAGAAGGCCGGAGGACTTCCGAGCCTTCTGAGAAGGCCCGCCCCCTCTCGCTTCCCCCCCTCGCTCGCCGCCGACTCTCTCCTTCGAGGCGTCCCGGGCTCGCTCCCTGGCCTCCCGCAGCGCCGCGGCGGGAACGGCGCCGCCGGAGTGCTGGCGCTTCTGGACCTGGGAAGCCCGCGGTGCGCGGAGCGGCAGGGAGGGGCAGATTATGGAGCGTGTTCCTGCGGGGGGGAAGGAGGAGGGCAACGCGGAGTTGCGTCTCTTGAAAGCGATGGCCCACCACAGGACGGTTGGGAAGCAATCAGCTATCCACATGCCCCCCCAGTGAAGTAAGATCGCGCCCTGGCCTTTTCGAACTTACGCCAGCCCAGGGCGGCCAAATAGGCCTGCACAGGCGGGGCCTCCCTGGAGGAGTAGGAGGGGCACGGAACCTGATGCGCGGCTTCCCTGGAGTGTTAGGTATGGTATGATAGCTTCGGTATTGTATGGTAGCTTTGGAATTGCAGGTGTGGTATGGTATGGTAGGTGGTGTGGTATGGTATGGTAGGGAGGCGGGGGAAGGAGAAGGAGGAGAAGGAGAAGGAGAGGGTGTTGTAGGAAAACAAGATCCACACTCAGGATGCGGGGAAAAACATGGTCTCGCAACATCAAGGTGTAAAAATGACTGCGCGCGCTCATGCCAATTTTTAAGAAAGCCATGGGTTTTCAAATATCGTCAACAGATTCTGCCAAACAGACCTCTCGCGCAGCATGTCGAGCTCATCCGAACGCCCGTGCGCGCGTGCTAGGGGGGGGCACGCTCCGTGTCAAATCATACCATGCGGGCCATTATCGTGCGTCGGCCGCGCGCGCATGTCGAACTCCTTCCAAGCCCTTCATCTCCAACGCGAGGGCATCGTCATCGTTATCGGCGGGCGCGATCAACATCGGCGCCGTATCGTCATCATCAGCAGCAGCATCATCACCATCATCATCATCATCATCATCATCATCATCATCATCAGCATCATCATCATCATCATCATCATCAGTGTCATCATCATCATCAGTGTCATCATCATCATCATCATCATCATCATCATCATAATCATCATCATCAGCAGCAGCATCAGCATCATCATCATCATCATCGTCATCATCATCATCATCGTCATCATCATCAGCAGCATCATCATCAGCAGCAGCATCGTCATCATCATCATCAGCATCATCATCAGCATCATCATCATCAGCATCAGCATCAGCATCAGCATCATCATCATCAGTATCATCATCATCATCATCAGCAGCATCATCATCATCATCACCATCATCATCATCATCATCATCATCGTCATCATCATCATTAACATCATCATTGCCAACATCATCAGCAGCATCGTCAGCATCATCATCTTAATCGTCATCAACTTCATCAGCATCATCAGCATCATCAGCAGCAGCACCATCAGCATCGTCATCATCATCATCAGCAGTGATAGTATTACCATCAGCATCCATAGATATTACCAGCATTAATGTCATCAGCATCCTCAGCATTGTCATCGTCGTAACATTCATCATTGTCATCATCAATACCACCATCCTCACCATCATCACAAAGAAGCATCGTCATTGCCATAGTCATTGTCATCGCCGTCGTCATCATCACCATCACCAGAAGTATCTGAGAAGATTGCATATAAGCGGCAGCTGGTTGTAGACCTTCGTACCATGCTGATTAGCGGTGAATTGATGGGAACACAAGAGTCGCAAGGGGCACCCGCACGACGAGGACGGCCCCAGGTGGCAGGGCCTAAAACTACTGCAAAAATAAATGTCGCAATTCCGCTTTCTCGAAACGACCTCCTCCTCATCCTCCCCGTCGTCCTCGGCCTCTCCCTCTCACTCACCCTCCTACCCCTCCTCCACAACCCAAATCTTCCGCTTCCTCCCCATCATCATCCCTCCCCGCGGTCCAAGATACGTCAGAAGATCCATGCGCGCGAGAAGCATTGCGGCTACTCCAAAATATTCACCCGAAGCACGGGCTGTCTCTGCTCCTACTGCTCGTGCACATCGGCCACAGGGCTGCCCCGAGACAATTAGAAAAGCAAGCGGCCGCGCGGACCTTGACCGCGTAGAGCTGCTGGTCCAGTCGGCTCCTAGGGGAAAGCGACCTCCACATCTTCCTCCTCCTCCTCCCACTCCTCCTCCTCCTCCTCCTCCTCCTCCTCATCATCATCATCATCATCATCATCATCATCATCAGCATCCTCATCAGCATCATCATCATCATCATCATCATCATCATCATCATCATCATCATCATCATCATCATCATCAATCATCATCATCATCATCATCATCATCATCATCAGCATCGTCATCATCATCATCATCATCATCATCATCATCATCATCATCATCAGCATCATCATCATCATCATCATCATCATCATCAGCATCATCATCATCATCATCATCACTATTTCCCTCGATCTCCGAATGATTCTCCTCATCCTCGTGGGACGCCTGGGAGCGGCCCTGACCATGACCGCCACCCCAGCCTGGCTAGACGCGACTGACTGGCACATGGGCCTCCTAGACAGACGATCTTATAAATCAGCAGGTACGACAAGCCGCTGGGGCACTTCAGATTGCCATCAAAAAGGAAAATGGAAAGAAGGGAAAGGAAAGGGGGACAGCCTGTGGAATTGAAATTGACAGCTGTACGGGCTACACACGCTAGGACAGATTTACAACCGAAGATTTCGAGCACGCGCACACGCAGTGAACTGGCGCAACCTACTCAAACTGATCCCCGAACGTCAAGCAAACTTGTCAAGCTCCAGACGCGGAGCAATCCCAGCCCTACTTGGGCAGCGTGCTTGCAAACCAGCTGGGCAGACCAAGCTGAATGGCACTTTCAAGCAGGATGGAGGAGGAGGGAGGGAGGGAGGATCAAGGGCGGGAGGGAGGGAGGATCAAGGGTAGGATCAAGGGTAGAGGAGGGGAAGGAGGCGGAGGAGGGAGGATCAAGGGTAGAGGAGGGGAAAGAATGAGGGATGAGGTGGAGCGGAAAGGAGGGAGGCTGAAGGAGGAAGGAGGAAGGAGGAAAGACGGTGGACGGTGGACGAGGACGGAGGACGGAGGACGGAAGGCAAAGGATAGAGGTCGCCGTCTCTCGTGATCCAGGAGGGACGGACGAGGAGCAACAGCACCAGCTAGGAGGCGGGGAAGGAGTTCACCATCGTACAACTGCGTGATGTGACGAGAACTGAACAGCATCGTGACGCGATGACAGGATGGTCCATATCTGCTCTCGAACGGAACAACCATCATTCGATGAGCTACTGGAACACGAACGGTACCGCGGTGCCTGCATGACAAAGCTGATGGCCACTCTCGAAGGGTTTTTCACACCCCGCTCAGACTGGAGCAGCAATGTTGACTGCATTACTGCTCTGATACACGACCTATGCAAGATACATTACAGGCTGACCCTGCGCTGAGCAACTAATGGTCGCTGAGCAGGCATCGCCCCGTGAATCGAACAATGAATTAGCTGAAGCGTCTGCCAAGAAGCTTGCGCCCGAAATAGTTGGCGCGCTCAGACTGGGCTGCAAATAAGGCGGTGGATCGAACATTGCATGTTTGAACAACGAACCGAGCCAAGCGCCTGACCGACGACTTCCCCTTCGAACCAAGACAAGAGTGGCAGGTTCGCCGTCTCCCTCCCCCTTCCTCCCCAAGATCCTATTTCTGTGTCCCTCTCTCTGGCCCTTACTCCCCACTTCCGTCTCCAACTCCCTGCTTTGTCCCCTCCCCATTCTCCCTCAGCCTACCTTAACCCATCCCTGCCCCCCCCCCTCATCCCATCCTGCTATCCCTCGCCATGGGGCCCACTGCGGCAAAAAACTCTCCTACGCAGACAGAGAAGCCGAGGGTCCTAGCCCGGTACACGGTGGCGAAGTCGCCCCTGCCGATGAATTCGATCTGGCGGCCACAAGGAGTTCGCCCACTCACTTCCTCCTCAAACTCATCATCACCATCACCAACAACAAGAAATGCATGGTCATCAGCATCAGCATCAGCATCATCATCGACAACCACCACCACTAACAACCATCCTCGTCATCACCATCATCAACACCACCACAATCGTCAACATCAGCAGCATCAGCATCATCATAAGAAGCAGCAGCAACATTTGAACTCTCAGTAGATCACAATCATCAGCATCAGTACCATCATAATCGTCATCGTCAGCATCAGCAACATCATCATCATCATCATCATCATCATCATCATCATCATCATCATCATCATCATCATCAACAGCAGCAGCATCATAGTCAGCAGCATCGTCATTTTCATCGCCATCGCCATTATCGTCATCATCACGCACTCAGCATCACGCAATCAGCTTCATCATCATCGTCAGACGCAGCAACAACACTCTTGTCATCCTCAGCATCATCAACACCATCGCCACCATCATCATCAGCATCATCATCAGTAGCAGTATCAGTATCAGTTTCATAATCAACAACAGCAACATCGTCATCGTCATAGGCATCGCCACCGTCATCGCCATCATCATCCGCAACAGCATCATCCTTATCATTATCAGCGTCCCCCTCCTCTTCCTCATCATCACCACCATCAGCATCACCACCACCATCATCATCATCGGCAGCATCAGCATCATGATCATCAGCATCACCATCATCACCATCCAAATCATCGCCAACATCATCACCATCATAAACACCACATTCGTCATCACCATGACCATCCCAATCATCATCGACGACGGCAACGTCGTCGTCATCGTCATCATCGCCGCCGTCGTCATCATAAACGCCATCAGCCAGCCTGTGACGAACAAATCTGTGGGGGATGCACGTTGGAAAATTAGCCGGGTGCGGGACCCAACCATATGCAGTTGTGCGTACCGCAATTGTGAATAGATTATTCGGCGGCGCCCCCGATGGGGCCACGAACTCTGGTAAAGGAAGTGCTGAGGTGCGGCGGGCAAATGTGGACGGTGGGCCTTCGGTGGAGCTCCCTATGGGGCCGCCACGAAGCGTGTGAGGGGTGTGCCGACATGGGTGCGGGGGGCGCACGTGGACGGTGGTATGGGGCCTTCGGTGGAGCTTCCTATGGGGCCACGAAACGCGTGAGGGGTGTGCTGAACTGGGTGCGGGGACCGCATGCGGGCTTTCGGTGGAGCCCCATACGGGGCCACGAACAGTCTGAAGGGTGTGCCGAAAGGGGCGTGGGGACCGCATGCGGGCATCCCCACTAGGGCATTCGGTGGAGCTCCCTATAGGGCCACGAATTTGAGAAGGGTGTGCCGAATAAGTCTGGGGACCGCGTGCGGGCACCCCCACTAAGCCATTGGTGGAGCTCCCTATGGGGCCACGAAACGTGTAAGAGATGTGCCGAAATGGGTGTGGGGGCCGCGTGCGGGCAACCCCACTGGGGTTCTCGGCGGGGTTCCCTATGGGGCCACGAAACGCGTGAGGGGTGTGCCAAAATGTGTGTGGGAACCGCATGCGGGCACCGCACACGAGGGCCTTCGGTAGGGCCCATTATGGCGCAACGAAGCGTGCGATGAGTGTGCCGAAATGGGCGCGGGGGCCGCATGCGGACACCCCCAGTAGGGCCTTCGCTGGAGCTCCCTGTGGGGCCACGAAACGTGTGAGGGGTGTGCTGAACTGGGTGTCGGTGCCACATGCGGGCACCCCCACTAGGGCCTTCGGTGGAGCTCCCTATGGGGCCACGAAACGTGTGAAGGGGTGTGCCAAAATGATCGCGAGCACATCATGCGGGCACCTTCACGAGGGATTTCGGTGGAGCTCCCAATGGAGCCACGAAGCGCGCGATGGGTGTGCCAAAATGTGTGGGGGGACCGCACGCGGGTATCTCCACTACGGCCTTCGGTGGGGCTCATTCTGGGGCCACAAAACGTGTGAGGGTTGTGCCAAATTGCGGGGGGTGGCGGGAGGAGGGAGGAGAGGAGGAAGAGGGGAGGATGCGAAAAAAAGGAGAAGAGGAGACCGCGGGGACCGTCGTTTCAAAATGATGGCCGCACACCGCTGGATGGTTGGGAAAAATGGTTGCCCTGCTCTGGCGAATCGCGGGGTGGCGCCCGCCACATTGAAAATCAACGGCGGCGGCGTAGGTGATTAGCGCCGACGCCCAGCCGCCAGCTGGAAGGCGACAGACAACACTGACTGGGGTAGGGGAGGGGCGGGAGGCAAAGGCGGCAGAACCAGGGACCGTGAACCGAACAACACCTGTTCGAAATGAAAAACTATTGTGGCGAAGGACCCACCATATGCAGTTGTGGGTACCGCAATTGTGAATATCGTCTTCGGTGAAGCCCCCCATGGGGCCACGAAGCGCTGCAATGGGTGGGGGGAACGCATGCGGGCGGTAACACGGGGGCCGTTAGTGGAGCCCCGTATGGGGCCACGAAGCGCTGCACTGGGCGCGTGAAAATGCTAAATTGGGTGTGTGGGACGCAAGCGGACGATCCCACTGGGGGCTAAACGTTGTACTGGGCATGTAAGAATGCCAAAATGCGTTTTTGGGGCGCATGCGGACGGTCCCACTGGGGGTCGAGCTCCCTATGGGGCCACGAAACGCTGCACTAGGTATGTGGAAATGCCAAATTGGGTTTCCGAGGCGCACGCGGACGGTCCCACTGGAACCCCTAATGTGACCACGAAGCGCCATACTGGGTGGATGAAAATGCCATAATGGGTGTGCGGGATGCACGCAGACAGTCCCACTGGGCGTTTCGGTGGAGCTTCCTATGGGGCCACGAAACGCTGTACTGGGCAGGTGAAACTGCCAAATGTGGTGTGGGGGACGCATGTGGGCGGTCCCGGTGGGGTTTTCGGTGGAGCCCCCTTTATGTGGCCACGAAACGCTGTGCTGGGTGGGTGAAAATGCCAAACTGAGCGTGCGTGGCGCATGCGGACGGTCCCACTGGCCACGAAACGCTGTCCCATGCGTGGGAGACGCATGCGGCCACCCCCACTGGGGCCTTCGGTGGAGCTCCTTATGGGGCTACGAAGCGCTGTCGTGGGCCAGGGAGGCGCATGCGGTCACCCCCATTGGGGCCCTCGGTGGTACTCATCATGGGGCCACCAGACGCTGCCCTGGGCGTGGGAGACGCATGCGGCCACCCCCACTGGGGTCTTAGGTGGAGCTCCCCATGGGGCCACGAAGCGCTGTCCTGGGCGTGGAATACGCACGCGGCAACCCCCATTGGGGCTTTCGGTGGAGCTCCGTGTGGGGCCACGAAACGCTGTCCTACCCGTGGGAGACGCATGCGGCCACCCCCACTGGGGCCTTCGGTGGAGCTACCTGTGGGGGCACGAAACGCTATACTGAGTGGATGAAACGCATGGGTGAGGGAGGAGGAGGAGGAGGAGGAGGAGGAGGAGGAGAAGGAGGAGGAGGAGGAGGAGGAGGAGGAGGAGAGGAGGAAGGAGGCGACGCGCGGCACCATCTCTTCAACACGAGGACCCAACACCACAGGACGGTTGGGAAAAATGCTGTCGGCGCGCGACCCCGCGCTTTCCGCCCTCTTTTCTGTGAAACCGATGCGTGTCCTTTGCCCTGGCCGCAGCCAGGGGGGCGCCAGCTGCCTCGCGGGCCCGCGAGCAAGGCGGGCTGGACGAAAGGGGGGCGTGGCCAAGCGGGGATTTGTCCAGATGCTCACGTTGCTCATTTTCCGAGCGCCCCCTGGTGCCGAAAGCAGCCATGCATCGAAGACTGGCCCCTCGGCGGGACGACCGAAACCAGCTGTGCGCAGCAGCTTTCGCAACACCCCTTTCCTTCCCCAGCCTTTCGCCCGACCCGAATAAAGCGGGCAGGGCAGCCCTCCTCCCCACTCTGTCGTAGTCCCTGTAGTCGTCGACGACGACGACGACGACGACGACGACGACGACGAGGACGAAGACGAGGACGAGGACGATGATGATGACGAGGAAGACGAGGACGAAGACGAGGACGAGGACGAGGACGAGGACGACGATGACGATGACAGACGGCGAACGGCAGACGGCGACGGCGGCAACGACGACGCCGCCGCGCTGCGGATACCCTGTGGGGGGGAGCGCTGCGCAGGCCCGCTGTAGTCGACGACGACGACGACGAACAAGACGAACACGACGAACAAGACGAACACGACGAACACGACGACGACGACGACGACGACGACGACGACGACGACGAGGTCGACGACGACGACGACGCACTGCGGATGCCCCATAGGGGGCGGGGGGGGTGCTGCGCAGGCCCGCTGTACTCGACGACGACGACGACGACGACGACGACAGCAAAGACGACATCGACGACGACGACGACGACGACGACGACGGCGACGACGTCGACGACGACAAGGACGACAAAAAAGACGACGACGACGACGCCTGAGGGGAAAAATTCGCCTCGGATGTGCACGGCCCCTATAAAAGCGTCTACACGAAAGGCAATCGATTTGAGGCTGTCATGCAGGGGGATACACGATCCCCTCGGCGGCGCCAGCGACGACCCCCTGGCGCACGTTTAAAATTAGACTGGCGAAGGACCCAACCATATGTAGTTGTGCGTACCGCAATTGTGAATATCTTCTTCGGTGGCGCTCCCTATGGGGCCGCGAACCCTGTGAGGGGTGTGCCGACATGGGTGCGGCGGACGCAAGTGTGTGGACGGTGGCACTGGGGCCTCTGGTGGAGTTCCCTTTGGGGCCACGAAACGTGTAAGAGGTGTGCCGTAGTGGGTTTGGGGGAAGCATGCGGGCGGTGGCACTGGGGCCTCCGGTGGAGCTCCTTATGGGGCCACGGAACGTAGGAGGGGTGTGCCGACATGGGTGTGGGGGACACATGTGGACGGTGGCACTGGAGCCTGCGGTGGAGATCCCTGTGGGGCCACGAAGCGTGTGAGGGGTGTGCCGACATGGGTGTGGGGGGGGC